CATGGAAAATGAGATGAAAGGGTAGTTTATTTTGGTGCAAAAAAAAACACCTTAAAATCCATGCATATGAGAAGAATCCCCCAAAGTTCGTGGAAAACGCATATTATGAAACAATGATGCATGATTGCAGCTTTTTTTACACCAAAATAAACACCTTTCCATTCGATTTCAAAAAGCTCGTGGAGCTTCACAACACCTCGGAGCAAAGCACCCCTGCTTCTCTTCCACCTTTCCAGGGGAGCAAGAGGCAGCTCTAGGTGTGGGCGCTGGACAACCTTGAACCTGCCCTGGTGGGCGGAAATGGAATCCACCCCCATTGTTCTTTAAAAAAAAAAAAAAAGAAAGCCACGTAACAGCCGAGTGTTCCCTTCTTTGGCCAAAATAACAGTTGGCGCTCATGGAGCAGCTTTGTGGAAAGAACGCGCCGAGAACCCATAGATGAAGCTCAGGACGGCCCCCTGCTCCCTGCAGCCTCAGCCCTCACCTGTACTGGGCACCCGGCTTGAGCTGCCCATTACATATGTCCTGGGTGTGGCCACAGTCATCTGCACCCATGGACACTGTCCAGGACTTTGGCACAGCCCAGGGGCCCGGGTAGAAGGGGTTGGGAAGCAGGATGGCCAGGTAGGAGTCGCATCCTCCGTAGTAATGGTCGTACCACGTGCGGTTGATGGCTTTCCGGGAAGGCTGAGCCACTAGGAGAGGAAGGCAGAAGGGGCAGAGCAGAGTGGGCAGTGGAGCCGAGGCCTCTCCAGCATGTTCCCAGCATTCCAGTGCAACATCAGCCCTAGCCTCGAGAACATTCCGGGTGCCCCTTCCCCTCCCCCGGCTGCCAGGACTCACGTGACATGTTGGTGGTGGCGACAACGCCGTACCACTGGATCTGCCCATCCTCCTTGCCAAACATGCCTGGCGTGATCACCACCCCCATCCCTGCCTCGGGCTCCAGCTGGGGGGCGGCAACCAACGCAGGAGGATGCCAGTCTGGGTGGGGGGAGGGGAGGAGGAGACTGAGGTTGTGACCGGGGCCTGGCCATCCATCTTCAGGAATGGTGGTCTTCTGAGCCGTGGGGGTGGGGGGGGTGGTGACAGAGGGAGACGGAGGGAGCAGAGGTGCCTCCAAGGCACCAGAAGGCGCCTACCCTCGGCAGAAGTGGTGCACACCAGGGTGACTGTCCGGCTCTGCAGGCCATTCCTGCCCAGCACGGTGAGGCTAAGGCGGTAAGATGAGGCAGGCACGAGGTCGGGTAGCAAGAGAGTGTCCCTGGAGGTGTTGGCCTGGAACACGGGGTGGGCGTGGCCTCCTGCAGCCAGCCGCTCTGCCAGGACCAGACAGGCGCTCACGTCCCCGGTGGGCAGTGTCCAGTTCAGGACGAGGTGGGTGGCATGGGCCTGGCACTGCACGTCCTCCACAGGGCCCGGCTCTGCGGGAAGCAAGGGCTCGGCGTTGGGTGGGGTCAGCAGACACCAAGAGGATCACCTCCAGGCCAGGAGCTCTCCAAATCGGCAGGTGCAAAGGGGAGGGGCACTGAGGGGCCTTGGCCCCTCAGAGAAACTGCTTCTCCTTTGGACCTCACAGCCCGGGGCAGGGGCAGGTGTGTACAGCATCCACCCAGAAAGGGCAGGTGGCCCAGGCTGGAATGGGCAGTGCACCAGCCTGGACAGGGCCCCCGCCTCTCAGAACACCTCCCGCCTCCCCGGTGGGCTTCGACATACCAACTGGCAGCACCACGGGGTGAGTGGATGCCTGGAGCGGCCCCGCCTGGCACAGCACGGACAGGGAGAGGCTGCGTCCCGGCGTGAGGCCCTTCAGCACCAGGAGGCCTTGGCCGAGCGCCAGAGGCTGATCCCAGGAGGGGCGCCCGGCCTCGGAGAGCTGGGCGTGGCACGCCCCCCGCCCCAAGGGGCCGCTGGCCCAGGCCAGGTTGACTACGGCGCTGCCCGCCTGCATGGACACCAACAACTCCCTGGGTGTGAGCGGGGCTGTGGAGCAAACAGAGCAGATCAGCCAGGCTGCCGGCCCCGCTGCTGAGAGCTCTGCACGTGGGGCCAGGGGCCGGCTGACCGCAGGCTGGGCCATCAGGGTGGGTGGGAGGTAGGAAATCGGGCAGAACCCAGGTGAGTCAGAGCCGGCCCTGCCCGCCTTCCCCACGCCCCACTCACAAGTCCAGCCCGAGACATTGGCGGCCGCAGCGCGCAGGGGCCCGGCCCACGAGACAATCTCCACCTCGTACTTCGTGCCCGGGGTCAGAGCCCAGAAGTTTGTGCTGTTCACCTCGGCCCCCAAGGCTCTGGTGCCCACCCGGGCACCCGCCTGGTACAGGGTCACCTGGTAACTGTCCCGGCCCCCGGCCGCATGGGCCCAGGCCGCCCGGAGCTGGCTGGGGCCTTCGCTGGTCACGTGCACCAGAAGTGGGGCAAGAGGGGCTGCCGGGAGAACAAGTTGTGGGGGGTGGATAAGAAGAGAGAAAAAGATCTGAACCCCAAAGATCTCCCACTACTCCCTCCATCCTCGACCAGTCAAGAAACACACAGGTCAGGAAGTGGAAGGCAGGGCCCGCCAGCTCCCCAGTGAGTGGCTCGGTGTTCCCACCCCACTGCCCCTCTCCCCTGCTGAGCTGGTCAGGAGCCTCCTCCCTGGCCTCCCAGGAATGGAGTGGGAAACCCGCCCCACCCTTCTTTCAGAAGGAAAGGGCAGAGCCCCGCCCCGGG